AAAAAAAAAGAGAACGCAAAATCACCAGTACATGCTGCGTGGTTCTTACCTTTCTCCTGATATTCAATGAGGACCCATCGCATCATCCCCACAGTTTACCGCCTGTGATGTAGAAGATGATTTTACAACAGTTATCTTCAAAGGAGCCCCTGCAAACGTCATGTTTTCATAACCTTCCGCCTGAAATTTGATTTCTTAAATGTCTGCCAGTAATATTAATAGAAACTGCCTGTAGATTCAAATTCAGAAATTGGCTAGGACCTGCTGCGTAGTCCTGAGGGAAATTTCCCCACTTCTCGGCCGTCCGCAAAGGCGTTCCTGAGAAGCAAAACTTTCACTATCTTTTACATAACATTTTCGAACGAACTGTATGAAAAGTTGAAATCATTCCAAGCACAAATTAAAAGAAGCTAGAATTTGTAGCTTTCAAAGCAAGTTTGTAAAGAAAATTCAGCAACAACTTTTCTTTGCTATTAGCCGATTCGTCAAGAGGAACAATCGAACCCGAAGGAAATAACAAAAAATTACCGGCGTAGGGAGTCTAACTACATCATCAGGTTGATCCACAATAACAGGAATTTCCCCATTCGATTCCGGTCCCACATCTGCTTCCTCGTTTTCATCCTACACATAGTTCGCAATGCAGCATTTGTAAAATATCAAAATTACTCGCAACAAACAAAAATCCTGCGTGACAACTCTTGAAATAACCAAGTTCAAGCCAAACAAACCTCATCAAAACCTTTCGGTTTATATTTGCCACAGCAAAAGTTACAGCAGCAGTTACAGCAGAAAAAGCATCCGCAGCAGCAGAAGAAACAGCAGCATGTTGAAAGACCGCAGATAATAAACATCCACTGAAACAAAAATGACGGCGTTTGCATTAAAAAAATTAAGGATTATTTGACAAAATACAGTTCAAATACACTTTTTAAGACAAATTTCTGTTAGTAAATTGGTTGTTACCCGTTAATTTCCCATTACATGAGAAGCAGCAGGACTGGCCCACACGAAATCCTTTGAATGAAAACAGATAGCGGGACAGCCGCGGCATACCATGCGTTTTTTGCACTGTATGTTATGTAAATCGATGTCACGGATATAGTGATGAATATAAGCCGAAGCTTTAAAAAAATGCACTGATAAATTTGCTCTTTATGTGTTTACGTATATATACACATATATATATATACATGTATATGCATATATATGTACATAAACATGTACATATATACACATATACACAACTGCGTGTAAGCAGTCCCAACAAGCCAAAGAGCAGCATAAACTGAGTGCAGAAGGAGAAGGAAGCCGAGTATGAAAGTACCGATAACAAGAGAGACAAT